GTTTAACTGCAGGAGGTGAGAAGCAATGCTTCATTCTGAGGCGTGGAAGTATGTAATGAATGAGGGAGATACAGGGAAGTTCTCTTTGACATGGATGCCTTAATTCTGTGTGACAAAAAATATGGGGATAGTGTGTGCCTCTGGGCTCACTCATCTGCTTGAAGTGGACCTGGAGGTCTTTTCAGAGAGCAATTAAGTCTGCAAAGACAGGACTTGGGATGAATTCAGAGATGATAAGTTGACAGAGAGGATGAGGCATAACATTGACATCACTGGAAGTTTGTTGTGAAAGCAATGATAGCTTTGCATGCTTGATGAGAAAGAAAACTGCATGATTCAGCTCTACAGAAATAGAAATAAAAGAGAAAAAGCCTGACTCAAAGAAGATAAAAGAATTTAAAAATAAATGGGTAGTAAATAACATTTACATTACTTAAGGCCAACGCTGTTGGCCTTAAGAACAACTGTGTGGTGTTCCTGACATTGGTGTTGTGCTAGCTAAAAAGAAACATGAGTGAAAAGATGGAGGGTATGTTTAATTTCAGGACACGCATCATTGAGTGATAGACAGTGAGTTAGTTAGAGATCACTACAAGCAAAGGCAAATAGGTTTATGCAGTCTAGTTGGGAAGCATGATCTTCATGATGTCTCAAGATGTACTTAGGTGTTTCAGGCAGGGAGAGCTAGGAAGAGCTAGGCAGGAGATGCTAATGACAATTTGACTAAAATTTCTCAAACCTGTGTATGTTTTACCTAGCTGGAGCATATCAGAGATTATACAATCTGCATAACTTTACACTTCAGTGTAAAGTTCACTTCACTTTCCTATGAAGGCATCTTCTAGATTCTGTACCAGTCAAAATACAAATTATTGAAACATTTCCTGATCTTTAAAACATGGGAAAGTATCATATGCAGATTTTATCTCTTTTTGACAGTACATCAAGGATTAAGTCAATGTGCATGACTTCCAAGTCTGGCTAAGAACATAAACAGGAAATTAAGTGATCATATGGGCCTCTTCTTCTGTATTGGAATTACACAGTAGTGTAACACAGTAATTTAATGAAATGCCTTCAGCTGCTGTTGAGAATGTTGAAAACTGAAAATTTGTGTTCCAGATCCAGGTGTACCTAACAGGTTGCAGGCCAAGGTTATCAGCTAGTGAGACTACCAAGGAGAGGCAGTGCCTCTGTTCCACCCATGAAGAGAGATGTGAGCTGAAAGGCGCTTTGATGCATGTCCCTGTTGTTACTTAATCTGAAACAATTAACTTTAAAGTTCAGTACCTTGAAGGGAATCCCTCTTCACTGATGTTCAATTTTGACTTGGGAATGGATAACAAAAATCTGTTTTTTTGGTTGAATGTGTAAGAATATGTTTTAGGAATGATTTAAATGCATGGGTAAGAGGGAAAGGGAAGAGGATCTTCATTCTGACCATGTATTGGTATGTAGGGAATTGGCTTCAACTCTTGAATGCCGGAGCATTTTAACAGAGAATTAACAGAGAATTTAACAGAATTTAAACATTTCAATATTGCTAGAATAGTGTTTATTGCTCTTTGAACACAAATGGGAATGAATCCTTTGGGGAAGCTCTCTGGTAATCTCTTCAATCTTGTACTATTGCAAAATAATAGACTTATTTTACTAGGACTCAGTTACAGGTCCTTTTTGGAACTGGAGATTAGACAATTTGATAAAAAGTTTAATGGTCCAGATTATTATTTGGGCTGTTTTGCATTAGCAAATGGCCGTCTCTTGAAGCTTGCAGCCTGCATAAGATGAAGGAAGAAACAGCAATGACAACTCCTGGGACAAGGGTCTGTGTGGATACACAAGGCAATAGTATGTACTTCTGATGAAATGCAGCACTTGAGAGGTGCAGTATTTTGAGTGGGCTTGATTATTATATTGTTTATTCTGTTTAGTTCTGCTGATGGATCCTATCTACTCCCTAATAGGAGTCTGTGTATAAAACCTGGCAGTGGATCAAATATAAATGACAGTTTAGGTAGGATTTTGTATGCATAAAAATGATACTAGAACAAATTTATGTGTCTGATGGCTTGCTTCTGAAAGCCTTTCTGAGCTTGCTGGGCTTTAAGAAAAAGAGAGAAGAGATACATGGATGAATTGGTCACAACTTCTGCTATTCTGAATGTAATAGTCACAATTTGGATTATAGAAAATGTGTATTCTTTATCAAGCCTGTGATTTGCATTGCTTTTCACAATGGATAAATATACAGATGGATGAAAAAAAGGTGTTTAACCTGACTCAGATTTGTTAGCCACTTAGCCTGTATGTATTATATTTCTCTACTTCAGAGCCAGGACTCAGCAGCGGTAATGAGATTCATGCCATGTAACACAAATCTTGGTTTGGGCTCCTGCTTCATCAGCATTCTGCTAAAAGATTGGGTTAAAACTGTTATGTGCAGGGTGCTGAGTTAGCCTTGGCTAATACCACATGCCCACCCAGCTGCTCAGTCTCTCCCTTTCCTTACAGGGGCAGGGCAAAAAGTAGGATAAGACTGTAGCTTCCAATAAAGATAAGGAGATCCCAGGACGAGCTTCACTCCTCTGCCCCAGACTCCTGTGCCACTCCCCATGTGGTGTTGGGGGTAAAGGGGTCACGGTGCAAGATACTATATTCCTGCTGCTCCTTCCTTAGGTTTTTCCTCTGCTCTGGCTTTTCCCAGAAGCTCCCCACTGACAGTGGTCCTGCTTTGGAATAGGCTCTCCACGTGGTACAGTTCCTTCAGGGAATATCTACCTGGCTTGAGCCCTCTCTGGCACATCCCTTGGGTCCCTTTTCTGGCACTCACTAGGGAGAAACTCTGTCCCTCTCCTCCTCTGACCTTGATGTTGTTTTTTCTGCCATTTTTCACTCCTTTTGTTCTATTTTGCTCTGTGGCATTTTCTGCCCTTTCTTAAATACACTTTGCCAGAGGTATTGTCAGTTGTGCTGAGAAGCTCAGCTGTCTCTGGCTGTGGTACTGTTAGATCCAGCTGGGCCTGGGG